TGTGAATATGACTGAAAAATTTCATTTTTTCTGAAAAGGTGGTGTCTATTTACTTGTGACCACGCTGTGTATATATAGGAAATAATGTTTTCAACACATTTGACGCTTTTGTTCCTTACATTTGACATATTAAAGTCGGAAAATATACTACATGATTTTAGTAACGTATGTCTTCAATAATTATTTTAAAAACAAGTTACAATTATTAGCATATATATCAACACGTATACTTTAGAAAAGTAACTTCAATGACTTCGTAAAAACTGGTCAATTTAGATTAGAGTTAACAATTACATAATAAATTAAAGATAGTTTATTAGAGATGATTTTTTTATTGTTCATGTATTTTCCTCCCAGATGGGCTTCCAATCAGAATTTTCCCAAATCGCTTCGACGAATCCAGACAGTAACGAATCTCCACTAGAAGCATCTATAAATGAATCCAAAAGTTTCTGTTTGACTGAATTTCTGCCCAGCACTCCTTCTAGCCATCAACGTTTTAAGTCTACTTGTAGTCAGCAAAATGAATTTTCAAGGAGTTTCGATAAAGAATTTGACAGGGGAAAAACTATGAACTTTGGTTGCTTGAACAATCCCGAAACAACAGTTACTAAGGGTGCAAACGTTGTGCAAGTAGGAAAACAAAAGGAAAAGGAAGTTGTCCAACATTCCAAGGATATTGGTGTTAGTAGTCACACAATAACTAAACCAATGACTGAGAAAGAGCTTCTTAGTATTGACAATTTATCTCCACTGATCTCTCCCAATAAGCTCACTGTGCCTAGCCATAGAACAGTTCAAAACATTGTCGCTAGGTTTACTCATTCGATGAATCAAATAGGTCAAGTCTTCAGTAAGGATTCCCAGCTCTCTTTTAATTGTAAAGATCTTCCACATTCTTCATCTAGCATTTCCACGCTTGTTGGCAATTCTGTTTTAGAAGCTGAAAGAAACCTGCAACTTAAAAGTGTAATACCGCCTTGCTCAAATCTGGATCATGGATTCCATGTTTCTGGAAAATTAAAAGAAACATCTAGTCCGTCCAAATCCAGTGAAAACTTTCTATGCAACAAACCTAGTTATTCCAAGCAAGAAACTCTTCGAAAATCATCTGCCTTACAACCTGTTGGTGTGAGCAATCTCTCAGAAGAAAATAACACAAATACTGTTGTTCGAAGAATTCACTCTAACAATGACTCTGATATGACAAATAATTCTCATTTGATGATAGGTAAGGAGTTTTATCTCAAAACCTTTAATCTAATCACAAGCATATAAAATGTTTAGATATTGAAATCTCATTGCATTCATTTAAACTTTGTATGCCTGTTTCTGATGATTAAAAATTAAATTTCTTTGGGTCACTGTTATAGCTCCAAAACATCTGGGTCCATAAATGTACACTTTGTTCATGATACTTTTAATCTTTCTTTTCAGATACTATTAGGGTTCACGGCTTACTTCACTCCGATGAGAACAACAAACCAAATGTTGATAATGACCACGTTTGTAAAGACGAAGGATACTCCACTATGTCCAGTGATATTCAAATAGAGATAAACGAAGACCAGAAGTTTAATATACACGATATGAAATCGGTTTCATTTAATGAAACCGAACACCTTGTAAAGACGATGAATCTAAGTTTTCCAGCTGTACAGCAAAAAATGTCTGTAAAAAAAGATGGAGAAATGGCTTCTTCCTCGGACAGTGGGCTTTGTTCGTTCCAGTTTCGAAAACCTCCGTTCTTGGATGTTGATGGCACTGGGTCTTCGATAAGCCGGGCAAAGTGTATAATTGAAAACAAAGATTCACTGATCTCTTGCACTCATGAAGGAGATGTGGCCAAGGAAACACGTTCTATTTGTAACATGTCTTCACCAAAAAATGAGAAAAATCCTCAGAAGGGCACAGTCTGGGAAAGAACTAGTCGTATTCAAGAATTTGAAACAATTAATACCCATTTAGCTCAGAAAAATGAAAAAACAAGTACCATATCACACTGTTATGGTGAAATGTTGGTTGATAATCGTTGCAAAACAGGCGAGGAAAGTGCAAAGCTTGACACCCAACTACAAGCAAAGAGTAACGAAAATATTGAACAGCTTAGTAATAAGTCACATAACGAGCTTACAGTAATTAAGCCCTTTATTTTATTGAATCAACGTGAAAAGATGGCAAAAGAAAAAACGGTGGTTAGTGATTCTTGTCAAAGTTTGAAACCACAAAAGACACACATACAAAATAAACGTTCTTACGTGAGAACCTCAATTCCACATACAACAATTCGTCGAAACGTTTCAGATTCTTACTTGTACCTCAGAAAAGAGGCACATTCCCCTGGGTATAGTAACCTCAGGTTTAGGGTTCGACCTTTAGAACGATGTGCGTCAGTCTGTGAGAGCCCTTTTCCAATAAATAATAGTAGAAACACACCGGAGAAAGGAACGTCAGTGGTTCAGGTTTGTTATGTTAGATATTTTTCAAGTCTAAAATTTTAAACTCTTCAGAAATCTGGACGTAATTTATTATTTTATGATAAATCAACAATGATGCATAATTAACTTATGTTTTAAACATCACAATAATACCAGTGTCATTTCAGACAACACATAATGTATAAAATTATCGTCAGCAAGAAAAAAGTTACTTGGGTATAGAAACCACCATCATTAATTAGAACCCATATTTTAAAACAGGACACATACACATATGTATATACTTAAAACTACATATATTAATATTCAGGTTTTTGTACATTAAATAAATAACCTATCGTGAACCATGATAGTTAGACCTACAAAGAAATGAAAATCCGCTCAAAACAGCTCGTTTGTAATTCTTTTTCTTCTTATTATTATTCTCTTGCCAGTTTATAACAAAAATGGCTTGGTACCCAAACCTGTTCGTAGGGGTATTGAAAAGTCTATTTGTTTCTTCTATATTTTACATAAGCTAAAAAACATCATAATTCTAGTGTAAGCGACGCTATTATTACCGCCTTGAAGTAGGCTTTTTTACAAACATCTGGTGTTCTTTTAAAAAGCTTAAGTATAGGGTGAAACAGAAATTACCAGCCAATAATAGATGAAAATGAGATGACTGTAACATGTAAATATTCAATGCTTTGTACACTATACAATCGGTGTCTTTAGGGAACCAACCCCTATATTTTGTATGAAGTGAAGAAGTAAAAAAAAAATCAATACACATAGTATTAAATTTGATTACACACAGTCGTCGAATAATTACTTTAAAATGCACAAAGGTTTATTTAAAGCGATGTTTGAGATGTATATTTATTTTAAAAGGCTGCTTTTCTACTGGTTAAAGTTTATACGTGCTTAGTGGGGGTCGTGTCTTAGTCTAAGCATATATTTTGCCAATTGCTGTGCCTTATATATAGAGAGAATTTAGTTACACAGAAACTATAAAATCTCGCTATGTTCTCAAACAAATTTCCATTACAATCTCTAGCTGCATCGTAACAATATACTTCTTCCATTTTTGTATCAGCTTGACTTTTGAAATTGGTTTCAGTAATAATCACGTCATTAATATAATGACCCTGTTGTTTGAAATGCTGGGCAACAGGGAGGTCTTTTTTGGTGTTAATAGAAGATTTATGGTTGTTGAGACACTCCCTAAGTGTACAATATCTCCAGCCTTGTTTCCTCCCTATTTTTTGATCTTTTTTTGCAGGTTTTTAAATTCCCAATTTTGTATTTATTTTGTTTGTTGGATTTTTATATGCTCAACTATGGGCAAAGGAGTACTTGATATGGTAGCTAACTTTATACACTGTAATTATAATAAACATAGCTAGTAGCTAACTGATACAGTTCATGATGATTTACTGTAGCTATTGACTATTTGATCACAAGATCATTTACTTCATACAGTGTAAAACATGCAATCACAAGTATGAAGGACAGATCCACAGGCACAGCGGTATGTCTGCGGACTTACAAAGCTAGAAACTGGTTTCGATACCCGTGGTGGGCAGAGTAAAGATAGCCCAATGTGTAGCTTTGTGCTTAATAACAAACAAACATATTGTAATTATTTTTATTTTTGACCGTTACACAGTCAGTATCTAGTTGGTATCTAAACAGGAGAAAAAAATCACTAAACTTAATAAAAAAAATCAGTGCATGGGTAACAGAGTTAAAAGATAAATCAAAACATTAGGAATTTATAAACCTGCAAATAGAGACCGTAAAAAAGGAATGAAACAAGGCTGGAAATACCTTAGACATTATTTACTCAAACTACAAACCCTATTTTGGCTCCATGCTGTTACCTAGAATTATATTTGGTGGAGTTAAAACATGGATTTGTTATTTGAGTAAATAATGTCTAAAAAGTCTTAGCAGAAATACTTGTTACATAAAGTTACAATACACGTGGAAATACATTCACATAAATCTCATATTGTAATACCACCCAGTGGCCAGAACTGTATAAAAAATTCATTAGAATCAGAATTAGTATTAGGTCAAGAAATTAATGTCGTTTTTTTTAGATGAAAAAACCCGAACAACTTATATATCAAAACAAAACGTTTATTAAATGAAATAGTCTCCATTTCTTATCGACGATGCTTTTCCATCTTACAATCAGGTTGTTAATACCCCGATTAAAGAAATCACTTGGCTTTGAAGCAAAAAACATGTCGATGTCCTCTTTAACACCTTCCAC